CCAGTGGATTTAAAGGATATTTCTCATTGTTCTGTGGAGAACTGACTGTAGAATATAGGTGGAAACCTAGAGGCTGGTCAGGAGACTAATGTAGGAAGTAGTCCCAGTATGGCTCACTGGGTTGCTTGAATTCATAATAGAAATGACAGTGGTGAAAATGGGCAGACTCTGTAAACGTCTTGAGTGTAGAGTTACAATATTTAGATTGAATGTGAGAGCAAGAGGAGTCAAGGCTGCCTCTGTGGTTTTGAATTGAGTGACTGGAAAGATGGAGGCAACTTTAACTGGGATGTGCAAGGTGCAGATTCAGGGAAAAAAATCACTTCAGCATAGATGCTGTCTGAAGTGCCAGGAAACATGAAGTGCAGATGACAGGAAAGCAGTTGAAGGTAAATTTCTGGAGTCATAAGGAGGAAATAAGAGAGATGAACTTGCAAAAGGGTTGGGTGTAAGTAGAAAAAAAGTTGAGTCTAAGATTTGAGACATCTCTGGATATCTCTGGTGTGTAAGGTTAGGAGGGTGAGCAGGTGACAACAGGTGAGGAAGGAGAACCAACCTAGAGAGACATCCTAGGAAGGGAGGGAAGAGAGGGTTTCATATGCTACAATGGATCCCTTAAGAGCTGAGATTATCAATGGAGGTCACTGGTTTTGGTGGTTATCTATGGCTCCGGAGGAAGAAAGAAAGAGATGATGACTATAGTATCTCAGTGATTTTGCTGTAAGGCAAAGAAGTAGGTAGTGGTGGGATGATAAAGTAGGGTCATCTCTTTTTGCAGTACTGGATATAGAATCCAGGGTCTGTTAGACAAATCTTGTTAGACTGCTTACCTATATCCCTAGCCCCAACATTTTATTTTATTTATTTTTTTGGTACTGGTGATTGAACCCAGGGATACCTAACCACTAAGCCCCACCCCTTATTATTTTTTTTTTGAGACAAAGTCTCACTTAAGTTCCGAGGCTGGTTTTGAACTTGCAATCCTCCTGCCCCAGCCTCCCAACGTTTTATTTTTTAAGCTGGAAAATACTGGATGTTTCTGCAGACTTGCATATGATCCAGGAAAGGAGAAAATTAGATTCAGGCAACACAGTACCTTTTGCAGGGTGCCTCCTGGGCATGTGGCAGTGATTGGGAAGCTGTAGGATTAGATGGGCAGTGGGAAGAGAATTGTGCAAGCTGTTGGAAGCAGATGCAGACGCAGATGCAGATGTGGTAGGTGGAACAGGTGAGTTCTTCAGTGATTCCTGAGCTATTCTCACTGAAATAGGAAATAAGGTTCCCAGCCATGAGTCTGGAGGAGGTGGGTCTTAGAAGTCTAAGGAAGAGGTATAAAGTAGTGGTTCAGAAGACTGGGAGTAGTGAGTCCATAGGGAATCACAGTAGACTTGTAGTTCCTCATCCCCACCTGGTGGTAGTGGTCCTAAAGTGAAAGTGAGAGTTGGCAAGGTGAGCATTTTCTCTCCAGCCACATTTGCAGTGGAAGTGTAGAGCAGGGTTCAGATTTGTCTGGTGAAGATGTTGAGAGCCACAGCCGAAGGGACCCCAGCAAACTTCCAGTTGCCAGCTGATGATTGGCTTACAACAGCCCCAGCAAACTTCTAGCTGCCAACTGATTGGCTCCTCTGCAGTGATGCTCATTGGGCTGTTTCCCTGCTCTTTCAGACTAGGGAACTGCTCACTGGGGGACTTTTTTTGGTTCTGCCCACGGCTACCCAGCCAATCAGCCTCAAGAGCAGGAGGAGTGGGGGAGGTTGAGAGGCTTGTGGGAAGCTGGTGGTGGCAGTTGGGCTCTGAAGGTTTTCCTGAAGAGCTGTGTGGTTTGGCATGTGTGTTCTAAAAATAAAATTTGTTTCTTTTGACAAGTGGCTCCTGAATTGTGCCCAGCCAGACTGCGGCATTTGGTGGCCCGTACGGGGATCGAACCAGCGACCTTGGCGTTATCAGCACTGGGAGACCAACAGGGCATAGGGAGTTGGGGTGGAGGGAAGGTGGTAGACCCTTGGACTGTGGATGTTGGTGGGTGGCTGACTAGAGGTGCTGGAAGGAAGGAGTGATGTCCAGAAAATGGGGTACTTGAACTTGAGGTTAGAGACTACTGTGTTCAGGGTGTCCTTGCTAGTAATAGATGTGAGATTTGGTGGTGGAAGAATAAGCTCATTGTGTCACCAGGACTGGGGTTCCCAGGAGGTTCCCTAAAAGGAAGTGGACCTCTTCTTAGGCTGTAAGGATCCTTAATATTGTTGCAGTAAAGAATTTAAGTTTGGGACAAAGTGAGGCACAGATTGATTTTATTGAGAAAAAGAAAACAAGTGTCTCCCTGAGTTCCAAGAGCTGCTTTAGAGGAATCATGGAACCTGAGGAGGGGTTTTTAGGCAGTCGGTCAGAAGTGCAAGGAAAACAACAAACAATTGGCATCTGAGAGGCAGTCTTGGGGACTGGTCTTTGGGTCTGCATTGCACCCAGGTGGTGGGTGAGTTCCTGCTAGGTCCATGTGCAGTGGACTGCCTGCCTGGTGTGAGCAGGCAAGGCTGAGTTGGAGTTGGTGTGCCTTCTGTACCTTCAGAATTCCCTTACCTGTTGAACTTGCTGTTCCTTGTGGATCTTGAGGAGGTGGTTAGGGGAGAGGAAAGAAGGTGAGGACAGGATCAGGAAGACGCTCTTCCCTTCTGGGGCGAGGAAGCTGAGACTGCAGAGGGAGGGGACACAGGAACACTGGACATTTGAAGGCAGTGCCATAGGATGGGCTGTAGAGCCTGGCCCCCAGGGGGGTGTTGAGGGTCTGGTGCTGCTGAAGTGGAGATGAGACCACATAGGTCTAGGTGTTAGTGCCCTTGCCCAGCACTTAGAACAAGTAGCAGCACTCGGTATCCATTCTTTAAACCAGTAGGTGAGCACATGAATGAGTGTGCAGAGGTCGGAGGGTGACATCAGGAGAGATTTTGTGTGTTTAAGATAGAAGAGGCTTAAGCATGTTTAAAAGTAGGTGGTCATGGTCTTAGGATGGTATACTAGAGAAAAACCCCATTAATGTTAATTTTGGAGAGTATCTGAAGGACTGGGTCCTAAAACAGGTGGGCAGGACCACCAGAGCTAATAAGAGAAGACCTGACCTGGGAACCAGAGCAACATGTAATTTCCACTGAAAAAGGTGAAGACAAGGACCTGATAAGGGCTCCCCCAAGGCTGAGGACCAGCCCAAGTGGTAGCTATTGAGTCAACTTGCTGCTGGGACAAGTTTTATCATTAAGCTACATACTGGATTTTGGCAGTGCAGTAAGAAGGGATTTCAGTTAGGAAGTGAGCCCTGAGAGTGGGAAGTGCAAGGAGTTGGGGAGGGTGGCGGAGGCCACTATAGGTTAGGGAAACAAAAAGACCAGGCTGTTCACATGGATACAACACAAGGATCAGAACAGGACTGAATGAGATAAGAAGAGCAGAGGTGACCAATTAAGAGGGTGAGGGGGGCTCTTGAGCTTGTGAGCTTGAGTAACCAGTGGACAGTACTGCTTGGAATGGCCTTAAGGAGAGGACCCCAAGGAGGTATGGTGTGGAGCCCATTCCAGAGGGTCTTAGACACTTCTGCTCATTTGCTTTCTGATCTTTTTTTTTTTCTTTTGATATCATTATTTTGAAAAAGGATAGGTAGGAATACTGGGTTTGGTGTAGGAATTGAAAGCCACAGCACATTTCCTTTCTTCCATGGCAGTAGCTGGGAACCAGCCCCAGACCCACTAGCACCCCCAGCCATGCAGTGGCTTAGCTCTGCTGTTGCTGGCTACAAATTAGCATCCCTAGTATGTTTTCCTCTCTTGTTTCCTGACTGGTTTTCTTTTTCTTTTATTAAGTGCAGTTTGGTTGCAGGCGGTACTTTGTTTACTGCAGCAGGAAGAAGGCCCTGAGAATGGGGAGAGGGGCCCTTACTCTTGAGGTCCTTTCTCTTTGCTTCCTCTTCTGTTGGTGACAAGTAAAATAATTGGTGGCAATTGAAGGGGAGGGGGATAGCAGTTTTAAAGAGTTTGTATTTTTGTCCTACGACTAAGTGATCACCAAAGTTGCTGGTTTAGTGGGATAGTTCCTCATCCCATTGTTTCCCAACAAGGTCAAAGAAGAAAATAGCACATAGATCTTATGCAAAACAAAGGAGGGGGTGGCTCTTTCTCTTACTTAGAAATGCAGAGCCAGGTTTTCTTGCATGTTGAAGCATTGTAGAATTTTCTTTCTTAAGAGTCGGGAAATCTGTGGTGGGTTTTTTTCCTGTGCCTGGAACACAAGTCATTTGCTTATGAATTTGATTATTCTGTATTTACAAATGGAAATAATTTATCTTTATTTTCATTTTAAAGATCATCACATAAAAGATGGCAATGATAGGCAAAAGACCTATTGTACAGTTAGCCATGCCATTCCACTACTGCAGGAAAAATAAATGGAAAAATGAACCGTTGAACATGGATACAATGGGGTGACTTAAGTTTGCAAAGGAAAGTTGAATGAATGTTTTTTCTTTTCCACTTAAATCCTGACATCATTGTAGTTTCACATCATTAGTAATCATGATCAGTGTACTATCCACTTTTTAATTGACATAAAAGTTGTATATATTTATGGTGTGCACCATGATATTTTGATATATGTATACATATATTGTGGAATGATAGAATGAAACTATGAATGTTTCTAATTTTTTTAAAATGAAACATTTTTTAAAAATGAAATAGTGTGCAGGCTTTAGGTTGTATTCTGTTTTAGGTAGTTAAAATGTACTTGGTATATGTTTTTTCTCATCAGAATGAAATTTAGATGTTATCGTAGACAAGTTCATTCTTTATCTAAAACCAGGTAATTTGTTTGGCTATGACATTGCTGAAAATGTTTATGAATTAAAGCAAACTTTAAAAAAATGTTAAAAGTGATTTGTGTGATATTGACATAGTACTTAGTATTTTTTCTGATTTTCATGCTGCATGTGGATTCTCAGCTTGACTACTGAGGTAAGGCTGTAACCAAAGGTATTGTGAGCTGTTGTATATAAACTTCCTGATTTTGTTTCATTATTCTTGAAAATACATTATAAGCATGTGGTCTTATTTTTAAGTGTTATAATAATATAAGTTAGAAATTTAAATTTGGGGATTTAATTCAAGACTGTTGACAGTTGTTCAGATTCATTGGGAAGATAAGTTTTAATAGTGCCTTGGTAGTCTAAATTCACTAGGTCATCACTGCACTGTTCAAAGTATGCTTCTGCTTCTTCCTACATAGTTGGGTTAGAATTTGCATGGCATGTAGCTAGTCTTTTCATGGTGGAAGAGGTATCTAAGGCTCTCGAGAGCTTTTTGAGAGTGGATGTTGTCCAAAGGTACTGGTGCCTGCCCAGGCGTCCTGCTCCGGCCCTGCAGTGTCCTTTGCTGCTGCCCTCTGTAAGTCTTGCAGTCACCCACTGGGGAGGGGTTACAGAGCGCCAGCCTGCCTTAGGCAGCCCTTCACTCTTGCCACTCATCACCAGGGCCCAGGCGGACCTCCAGCTGAAACACTGCCTTTTTTGGTACCTTCTGCTTCCCTTGCAGCCTCCCTCATTCCTCTTAAAGGATTCTGCTGAGAACAGTTCTTGTAGGAGCATCCCATCCCAGGCTTTAAGACCTGCAGAAGTTGAGGGAATGTAGGATGAACCCTGTGTGCCCCACCCAGCTTCAGTTACCACCTGTTGCCTACTTTGTCTTATCTTTCCCACTTTACATCCTCAAGTGTGTCACAGCATACCTCACACATGATGTCATTTTATCCAGATCAGTATCATCTATGGCCCTGAACAGGTAAGGGCTGTACTAACTCCTACTACCAAACCTGGCAAAATTACATTATTCCTCAGTGTCACCTGATACAGACCATGTTCATATGTCCTCCACCACCACCGTGGTAGTGATACTACAATGTACAAAAGAAATCAAAGGTTCAGTGTATGTGTTAAGGTAAAACATTGCTATAAGTTAGAGTAATCAGTTTAGTGCATGGTGATTTAAGAACATGTTCTCAATTGTCCCTTCTTCCCTTAGGTCCTGGATGCCTCGTCTCTTAGTTTCAACACCAGATTGAAATGGTTTATCATATGCTTTGTGGCTGGCATTTTCTTTTCTATCCTTGTGAGTTAAGGCTTTATATTGCTTAATTATTTTTATTTTGTATTAGTACAAATAAGCAATCTGCTTTATCTGAATTCCTGTTAAGACTGTTTTGATGGAGCATAGTCACCTGAAATAAAGGGATAGAGATTAATAAAAAGATGCAGAAATCAGTAGTTCGGGGAGTTCTAAGAATTATTGAAATAATTTTAAGAAAAATCATGCCTCACATGCGAGAGGCCCAGGTTCAATCCCCACCTCTGATAAGAAAACAAAAGAGAAATCAACATGAGTTAAGAGAACTGGAAAGTCAAAAATTTAGATATGTTTATTACCCTTTTTTTTTTTTTGGTACCAGAGATTGAACTCGGGGGCATTCAACCACTGAGCCACATTCCCAACCCTTTTTTGTATTTGATTTAGAGACAGCATCTCACTGAGTTGCTTAGCACCTCACCAATGCTGAGGCTGGTTTGAACTCGCAATCCTCCTGCCTCAGACTCCTGAGCTGTTGGGATTACAAGGGTGAACCACTGCGCCCGACTTTATTACCTTTTTTAACTCGCCATTTAAAATGGATGTTTACTTTAAATAGCATAAGATTTACTGAACAAATACAAAGACAGTTTTCTTCTGGCTTATTTATATATGTTTAGGAAAATAGGCAGAGGATTCAATTTAATGTATATCATTGAAAATTAACTGTTTTTACTATGTAACTGGACTCATTTCTATTCAATTATGTCATATAATACAGTGTTACTACTGTATTACTGTAGTAACACTTATATTTTAAGCCTTTAAGATTATAAAATCATTTTTACCTCATTGTAATGTCTGACTCAGGGAACTGGATTGCTGTGGCTTCCTGGAGGCGTAAAGCTTTTTGCAGTGTTTTATACCCTTGGGAATCTTGCTGCATTAGCCAGGTATGGATATAATTTAGCTTCTCAAAATAGCTTGTTTGCTGTCACTTCCAAATTTGCCTTTCTCATAGCACTTTGCTAATAGGATATTTCCATAGGTCTACACATGTTGTAAATTCAGCCAGACTTTATTCCATAAACACCTAGTGATTCTGGCCATGTGGCCAGCTACCATAATACAGAGTACTACTATGAGTAGCCAGCATTTGTAGGAGAATGTACTGTGCACCAGGGACTATTCTGAGTGCATGGTGTCAGGATAGCAGGTTTATGGGGCAGGTACCAGTATCGTATTTAGCTGGGGATGGTAGTGCAGAGGGGGCAGGTCACTTGCTCACCATTTGATCCTCATAAGTTGCCTGGGGCAGACACAGGGCTCCAGAGCCCAGGCTTGTAGTGGCTATGCTGTAATTCTTCTCTTGTGGAACTTGGGTTTTATGAGGGAAAAGTCACACTGTAAGCCAGAAAAAGATCTGAAGTTGTTGCTACAGGGCAGAGAACATAAAATTGGTGCCCCAGCAATGACAGGGTAGCTGTATTAGGTTGGGGTTTGAGGTTTCCTAATTTATAAAAGCAGACATTTATTCCTTATAACTTCAAGGGCCAGGAAGCCCAAGAGCTAGGATTCAGTTGTCTGAAGGCCACATCCTGTGGGGGTGTGAATGCCCCCTTCCCCTCCCTCACATGGTAGGAGAATGGAAAAGCAAGCCTCTGGGGACATCTTGTTTGTTGCACCCTACTCTTGCTCCAGGGAGCGGCCCAGGCCTCCTCACCTCTCAAGATGCAGTTGAGTTGATGGCACAGACTGTAGGTTGTCTGCTAGAAGAATTGGCAAGTGTCCTGTAAAGTCAACGAAAAGCAAAACAGATTGAGGGAGAGAGCTAACAAGGTTTTTTTTATTTTTGTTTAGCCAGACAAATGAACGTGATCTCTATTATTTTTTTTTCCAAATAGTACGTGCTTTTTAATGGGACCCGTGAAGCAGCTAAAGAAAATGTTTGAAAAAACTAGAGTACTTGCAACAGTCATTATGCTTGTAAGTAAATATTGGCAGTTTTAAAAAACGTATGTTGTAGTGTTTTTCATTATTATGTCCTCAAGGCCGTGTTGTTAAAGAATTTGAATTATAGAGTGTTGTCTAAAGTTATTGGATTGAAGAAGCCTGCTTACTATTTTTGTAGCTTTGTAATTATAACAAAGACTGGAGCTGGGTATGTTTTCATTTTCAAGCCTATAGATTATTGGATGGTCTGTAATCTTTGGAGGGTTAGGAGTAGAAGACAGGTGACTTCTGAGTCTACCTCTCAGGTAGAATTGGCATATTTGTCGTTTGGTTTTTGTCCCTTCCCTATTTACTAGTGTACAAATAATTCTGCTAATATGGCTTCTGTGACCACACCTTTAAGTTGCCCTTCATTGCTTTGGGGGTTCTGTTCCTATCAGTCATCACTCTTAAATGACATGTTCTCTTTATCTTAAACCAGGGGTGGGGGGTATGAAAGCCACACTTATAGTCAGAAAGTTTCCATCATCGTACATTTTGAATTTTAGCTGAAAATGAGTGTTTGGTGTGAGATGGGTAGAGGAACCCTTCCTCTACTTCATCATCCTGCCTCTGGTACCAGCTTACCTATTCTGCTTTTACTTAAAACATTTGTGCTATTTTAAAGAATTTAAACATAAGCATTAGCCAATAAGTGTTACTTTACTTTTAACTGTTAACATTAGCTTTTCAAACACAACTCATTTTTAGCTTCTTTATTCAACTTTATGCTTTTTATTATCATTTTTATAACTCTTCCAGTTGTTTTGAATTTCCTATATTAGCATTTATATCAACATATGTCTTAGCATTTAACTTTGCCTAAGTTACTAGGAAACTATCTCCTACTGTTAGACTACAGGATGTTTTTATTCCATTAAGATTTTGCTTGGATTTGTTTTATTTACAATATCCTGGCATTTATGATTAACAGTTTTAGTAGTATACCTTAAACCAACACATGTAGTGAAGAGAATGTTAGACTGCAGCAAGTATCCCCCAAGGGACCATAGCTCCGTGTGACACATTGTGGAGTAGCTCAACCTGTCTAGCTCGCTATTGACATGGAGATTTGTTTCTAACTCAGCCTCCTATGCCTGCCAGTCCTATGTCAGGTGTGTCACAGAAAATCCTTCTAATATTTTGAGCAGGCGGATAGGTGCACCTCTTTAAAGAGAAGAAAATGTCTAGATGGGTCCACTGTTTAGCAGGGACCCCTAGGTTATAGGTATCAGAACTAGGGTCCCTTAGGTCTCTAGCTTAGACCTCCAGCCTGCTTGTGAAAACATAGGGTGGCTGAAGTTGCTTTCATGAGGATGTGGAATGATAATGTAATCTTTTGTATGAAAAAAAATATTAGGGTCACTATGTAAAATTCAATACAATTGAACTTACTATGTACTGCCAGTTGTGCTAATGCTAACCATTGGCACTGTTATTAAATTTTAACAGGAGCATAAGAATAGCTTTTTGTCATTCTAAATATTCTTAAACCTCAAAAGTTCTTTCAGTTTAATCAAACGTTTATTAGGTGCTTTACTTTGCCAAGGAGTATTGCAGTCAGGGACTTCAAGTAAAAGAATAGTCGTGGAAGATATGTGTAAAACTAGTCCGCTGTCTCATTGTTTTAGTTGTAAGGTATATTGCCTATGCAAGTGAATGCAAGGTAGTCAGTGTGTTTTTTTATTAGACTTTGAAGATCTCACATTTATTACTTATCTTCCCTTTCTGTAGCTCTGCCTCATATTCACCCTGTGTGCCGCTCTTTGGGTAAGTTGCATCAGCTTGCTAGCTTTCTGCCAACTGTCCCCTCTGCACCTGAGGTGTTCTTACATCATCATCTCAAAATGACTCCCAAGTTCAGTTTCTTAGGACCTACCAAAGATCGGGTGTTCTTAAAACATGACTTGGCAACATCTAGTTGGCTGGACATAAGGTAGATAGATACTCCTGCCCATGAGATAGATAGAGGAGGTTGTTAACAAGTGGGTCCCCTTGTGAGCACTTACCCTTAGGCTGTGTTGATGCCTCTGACCACACCTGGATGGGGAGAGGCCCAGGCAGATGCCTGGGTCCTCTGCTGTACATGGGCTGTGCTTTTCATGCTGGTACAGGAGGAAGCAGCAGTGAGGAAGTGCAGTGATGAATGACAGGTAGGCAGGCCAATAGTAGAGAGGCCTGGAGAACAGAACGTTAGCAACAAGGAACAGCAGAGTCTCAGTCACTCCTGTACCACTTGTGAGTAAGCAAGCAGCTCTTCATTAGCTCTTGAAGAAATTATAACAATTCATTTTATTTATTGGTGTGCCTGATTCTTCATTATATTTCTTTACTTACAATCCTTTGCCTCCTTCCCAAGAGGTTTTGAGGCAGTTCTCGAGCGGTCAAAAAAACATCACATTTTAAAAAGAAAGGGTATTGTACAATATATTTTAGAAATATTCTAGCTGGGTGCAGTGGTACACACCTGTAATCCCAATGACTCAGGAGGCCAAAGCAGGAGGATCCCATAAGTTTAAAGCCAGCCTCAGCAACTTAGCAAGGTATTTTGCAACTCATTGACCCCGGTCTCTAAAAAATACAAAAAAGGGTTGGGGAATGTGGCTCAGTGGTTAAGCGCCCCGGGTTTAATCCCCGGTACAAAAAAAAAAAGAAAGAAATATTCTATAAAGCCAGTCGTGGTGGTACATGCCTATAATCCCAGTGTCTTGGGAGGCTGAGGTAGAAGGATCGCAAGTTCAAGGCCAGTCTGGGCAACTTAGTGAGATCTTGTCTCAAAATAAAAAGTGTTGGGAATGTGGCTCAGTTGTTAAGCACCCTTGGGTTCAATGCCCAGTTACTGCCCCCACACCCCACCGAAAAAATTCTGATTTTCTTTTTTTATTCTGAGCATTTAAGACTGGCTTTAGTGGGGCTGGGGATGTGGCTCAAGCGGTAGCGCGCTCGCCTAGCGTGTGTGCGGCCCAGGTTCGATCCTCAGCACCACATATAAAACGAAGCTGTTGTGCCCGCTGAGAACTAAGAAAAAATAAATGTTAAAATTCTCTCTCTCTCTCTCTCCCTCTCTCTTTAAAAAAAAAAAAAAAAGACTGGCTTTAGTAATATGAGATGCCTTCTAGACTTCGTTTTCCAAAAATAAAAGAATATTTGTTTTTCTTTTGGTACCAGGGATTGAACCTGGGATGCTTTAACCATTGAATTACATCTCCAGCCCTTTAAAAAAAAATTATTTTGAGATATAGGGTCTTGCTAAGTTATCTAGGGCCTTGTTAAGTTGCTGAGGTTGGCTTTGAACTTGCAATGTCTCAGCCTCTTGAGCCAGTGGGATTACGGCATGTGCCACTGTGCCCAGCTAAGAATGTTCTTAAATAATTTTTGCACATCCCTGGGGAATACTGATTTCCTATTTTGGAATAGTATAGCAGCCTGCTTGTAAAAAGATTCGCAATAAGTAAATAAAAATAAAAAATAATTATAAGGATGGAAGTGTAGCTCAGTGATCGAGCATTTGCTTAGCTTACTCAAGGCTCTGGGCTCAACCCCAGTACCACAAAAAAATAAAAAATAAAAATAACGATAGTCAAGAAATTGTCAAGATAGATTATTTTAATGCACCCATGGAACTATTTATATTCCAGAAGATCATAGTAATATACAGTTCTCCTTTTAAAAAACCATTCAAAAGGAGCAAGGGGAATGAGTAAGTAAATTCCACAAGAAATGTGAATTTAACTAAGTAGGATTTTAAATATTGATTTTGGAAAAGTTGACATTAATGTCAAAGACCTAACCTTTAAAAATTTTATATTTTCAGCCTGTGCACATCTATTTTAGTGAAGTTTATTTAATGTCATATATTTTGCAGTATTTAAATTAATAGTTAAAGACACTTTTTGAAAGGAAATATACTTTATGGGTATTTAAGTTTCTTAAATCAGACTACAATTTAATAAAGAAAATAAAATATCTACATTTTTAAAGGGGAAGAAGAATTGAACTTAATTGTACAAAGTATTTTTTAAAAATTTGAACTCACCATTTTCTGTTTTTGCTATTGTTAGTGGCATAAGAAGGGACTGGCCTTACTATTCTGCATATTGCAGTTCTTATCAATGACCTGGTAAGTCTTTTATTACACTAGTTAAAAAGCTAAAGTGACTTGAAATGTTATAAACATTTTGTTTGGAACCTGTAATGCCCTAAAAATAGGGGTTAGAAGCATGTGCTATGGAACCAGATCTCCTGCAAGACCAGGGGAAAGGAGGTTTGGGATGAATCCTTTTGTTCTTGACAGCATGCTTCAGTGGTACCTTGGGAGAGCTGTGGAGTTGGTACACTGGTAGTGGGCGGGGAGTGGGAGTATTCTCACGAAGTTACAGAGCAGTGCGTGCCATGAAAGAAAAATAAGAAATGTAGGGGATGTCACATGGATCCATCAAAAAGGGAAATGCGGGACACGCCCAGGAGGATCAGTTTACTGGGCATTCTGCTCCCTGTTGCTGTGTTATCAGTCACAGGAAGAATTTATTCCCGTATGGCCCCGTAAGGCTGGAGTTTTCCTCTACATGGCATCGATTATGTTACTTGTTAAGAACTGCTTTTGAGCTGTCTCTCTCTTCTCCCTCTTCTCCTAATTTTGAGGTGCCCTTCTCCTGGTCAGACTCTCCTTGTAACCCTTGTGTGTCTTGCACTGCAGCTCATCTTCCTGCAGGCAGGCAGTACATGTTGTCTGCTTAAAGGTGTCCCTAGGCTAGCTCCTTGCCTCTTCTGTGTTGGATGGATAGAGTGCTTTTCCTGTTCTTTTAAAGCCCTGTATGCTTGTCATAACCGCTTTCCTAGTTTCAGATCTCCTGTTTGATGTCACCCATCCTGGGATCAGTCATTGTTTTGGCCTAATTCCCATCCTTCCCTGATAGATTTAACATGTTAAATATAGTTCTCTCTACATATTTCAAAATAACTATGCTGTTATATATAGTGTTATATTTTACTTTTTCATTAGAATCTGAAGAAATTTAATTGAATCTCTTATTTTCTCTAATATTCTACCTTTTATTATCTAATCTATACTCAATAATTGATTTATCCCCAAAGGAAAACATAATTAACATTGTTATTTTACAAGTTCCTATTTTTTAAAAAATAACTTAAGAGAATAACTTTTTTATTATAAGAAGCTCAAACTTCAGTATGCATCAGAATCACCTAGGGAGTTTTTGTTAATGTTGGTCTGGGAGCGTAGCTCAGTAGTAGAGGCTCACCCAGCTTGCTTAAGGCCCTGGGTTTGGTCTTACAGACAAAGAAAGCACAGAATGCTTGATAAAGCAATCTTGTGATTGAGGAGGTCACAGTGGGGCCTCGTGATCCACACCCCACCACCCCCTCCCCGTACTGGGGTTGAACCCAGGGGTAACTTTGCCACTGACCTACATCCTCAGCCCTTTTTATTTTGAGACAGGCCTCACTAAATTGCTGAGGCTGGCCTTAAACTTGGGATCCTCCTGCCTCAGCCTTTCAAGTCACCAATCTCCCAGCTAGTGATTTACGCCTTAACAAGCTCTCAGATGGTACAATATGTTCTGAGCTCACATCTTGAGAACCATGATATAGTATTCTGCTGCCATGCTGGTCATGCTGCTAGCCATTGCCACTTGGCATAAAGGAAGCTATGATGTAGAACAAATGTCAACATACTTGAATTTTTCTTGCAGGTATAGTCTGTCGTACATCCCATATGCAAGGTGAGTTTGTTTGAATTCTGTCTTATTCTTTCTGGTCCTTTAACTATTTTTACACAAATACATAAATTTAAATAATTTTTATATTAAAACATTGTTTAAGAACTTTTTCAGTTGTCTTTGGCTACGTTTTTGCTTAAAGAGATAAAAAGAAGGTTGTCATATAAAGTATCTCTGTTGATGCGTTCTTCAGGCTGGAAATTTACTCCTGTCTTACCACATGAACTTTCTCAGGGAATTTTTACAAGAGATTCTGGATCCTTCTATAGCTGTGCATGTTCAGTAAGTAGGATGCAGAGACTCTGGTAAAAAATATTCTGCTTTTGAACAAAATGGGAAAGTTACTAGAAAATGGCATATGATATATAGATGTTTTTAGCAGCAGAAACATCTGTAATCTGCATGTCAAGAGATGACAGTTAATTCCTTAATATTTTCCAGAGCAGTATATTAGTTTTAGTTGGGGAAGAAAAACAAAACTAATTCCAGCCTTCAACTTGATAGATTTAGAAAAAGGTTCTGGTCATCATTTGACCCAGTTATCCCTCTCCTTGGACTATACCCAAAGGAGTTAAAAACAGCATACTATAGGGACACAGCCACATCAATGTTTATAGCAGCACAATTCACAATAGCTAAACTGTGGAGCCAACTTAGATGCCCTTCAGTGGATGAATGGATAAAAAAAAATGTGGCATATATACACAATGGAATTTTACTCAGCAATAAAAGAGAATAAAATCATGGCATTTGCAGGTAAATGGAAGGTGTTGGAGAAGATAATGCTAATTGAAGTTAGCCAATCCAAATGTGTTCTCTGATATAAGGAGGCTGACTCATAGGCGGGTAGGGAGGGAGAGCATGGGAGGAATAGATGAATTCTAGATAGGGCAGAGGGGTGCGAGGGAAAGGGAGGGGCAGGGGATTAGCAAGGATGATGGAATATGATGATCATTATTATCCAAAGTACATGTATGAAGACAGAATTGAGTGTCAACATACTTTATATTCAAACAGAGATATGAAAAATTGTATACCTGTATTGTGGTATATATGTGTAATAAGAATTGTAATGCATTCTGCTGTCATTTTTTTTAAATCAATAAAAGAAAAATGTTCTGGTGAGGCATGACTTTGTTTCTTTGTAAAATTTGGAAACCTATATATTTTAAAAGCCAGCAAAATTACATACCTAATATGAACAGTGAAGGGAATTGGTAGAATTTCTATTTTTTAATTTTTATTCCACTTTAAAAAAAGAGAAAAAGCAGAAGAGTCACAGATGAGAAGACTGTAGAACAGGGTCCACGTGGTAATTGTACTTCAGCAACTTGGCTAGGAGCCTCTCCATGTTTTGAGATGTACTGTCCACCCCTGCCTTGCATGAGGCTGCATAGACAGGGCACAGCTTCTAGAAAATTACCCACCCCTTCCCAAGGAGTTAGGATCCTGCACTGGAAAGTAACATGCAAGAGAAGCCTCAGATTTTATTATTGTAAATTTTAACAGTCTAGGCTGGGGCCATGGCTCAGTGGTAGAGCACTTGCCTAGCATATGTGAGGCACTAGGTTCGATTCTCAGCATTGAATATAAATAAATAATTGTCCAATGACAACTAAAAAAGTAATAAAAAAATTATTAAAAATAGAGAAAAAGAGATTTTTTAATATTTATTTTTTAGTTTTCAGTGGATACAACATCTTTATTTGTATGTGGTGCTGAGGATCGAACCTGGGCCGCACGCATGCCAGGCGAGCGCACTACCACATGAGCCACATCCCCAGCCCTAAAAAAATTTAACAGTCTAGGTAAAAGGGTTTTTAAAAAATGAATAGACATTCTAAGTAGGAGTTCAAACATACGGTTATAAAAGTATGAAAGTTTGGGAATTGTTAAGATGCAATAATAAGCATTTTGCTTTTAAAATCCAGTTTCTTCGTTCTTTTTAAAAGTTAATTCTTTTGTCAGTTTTGGTATTTATATTTATTTCTTTGAGTTAAAATCAGCATATGTGCTGGTAAAGATTTTCTAAATAACATTTTAAAAGTTAGCAAAATATTTAAGTCTCAGCTTTTGATTTTAAGTGATATTCAAAACCGTGTAGTTGATCAACGTGCTGGAGCCCACCAAGCCCATTGTAGAAAGGCAACTGAAAGCTTGGCAGGGAAACCTGGAGCAGACTGGTTACATTCTCTGCGCTTTCCTTCCTCTTATCACAGGGATGCGGTACTTAAATGCTGCTCTTCTCTTCTAAGTTGAAAATCAGAAACTGCTCCTGGAAAAGCACCTTGGGATGCTGAGAGTCCCTTGCTAGTGAAGCACTCTGTTCCTGGTGCAGTGGTCACTCCAGCAACAACCACAGGACAGCTTAAGCCCTTCTGCATACTGGTCAGACCACACACTCAGTTAAAAAGCTAAATGTGCCTAGCTTTAACTTTGCTGTATCATTAACGTGCTCTTCCAAAGATAAAGAGATTTTAATCATTGCCAATTTTAAATAATTTTAGCCAGTTTTTTTAATCTTTTCAAAACAACTTTTAAAATGTGAATATTTAAGGGAGAAATCTGTGCTGTGAGAGATCCTTAGCTTATTTGGCTTTTTAAAAGTGTCTATGTTTTTAAGACATCCTTTTTTAAAAAAACTTTAAAAATGTGAAACTTTTTACTGTAAGCTTAAAATTGCTTATTACATGTAATAAAAATAATATATGTGTATATATCTTTAAAATTTGAAATAAACCCATCCTTGGAAAAAACAATAACATCTTCTGTGTTGAATTTGTAGTATTTTAAGTGATTCAGTTCAACAGAATTTAGTCAGGCATATATTCTTTCTGTAGAAAAATAAATACCAAAAAAAAAAAAAAAAAAGAAAAAAATAAATACAGTCTCTATCCTGGCTGTGATGGTGGTGGCCAGGTGAGTCCTCTCAGGTGCCAGCAAGGACAGGAGGCTGCCTCCACCCTGTGGGCAGGGGTGGAAGTGGGGGGTGGGAGGGGTTGGCTGCCCCAAAGTGCCTGAGGGGGCCTTCAGGGGTAGTGGTAGCCTGCACTAACTGCTCCCCCTCAGTTGCCCATGGGTTGACCCTCGCCTGGCCAGGGGCCAACAGGAAGGGATTTACAGGGAAAGGCGTGGGCATGTAAGCATGGTAGTGTAACGAGAAGGCTGTGTGTTGAGAGTTAGGGGAAAGGCCTGCAAAGAGCCATGGGAGGATTGTTCTTTGTGGTCAGTGCAGAGAAGGGTGGGGCAGCGAGCAGTCCATGCATCATAGCACCATAGCATAGTGAAGGCGGAGGAAGCGCAGGATTTCGGTGTTGCCAGAGTGAAAAAGTGGGTGGTCTTGGGAGTTTGGGGGGAATAGCCAGGTCAGACCCCCAAGGACTGTGGAAGTCACTGGCCAACGCCCACCTTCATTCATGCAGAAGGGCATGCTATGGGGCATCATCAGGTCCAGCACCAGGCCTTGGTGCTAGGAGGAGACCCAAGACATCCTAGTTTTTATAGTGTGATTGCAGAGGTACCACAGGGGTGCTGCTATGGGGTGCAGAGCGCAGCTCACTAGCTGCAGGGTGAGGCAGTGACAGCTAGAGGAAGAGCCGGTGCAGAGGAGTCCAGTCCAGTATGTGTGGAGTGCAAGTAGAGGAAAGGCTGCAGGAAACCCTGTCAATGAGAAGAGTTGTTTTAGATAATTACAGATGACAGGAGTCATGAAAATAAGAGAATTTAGTTCTCAGTATACATGGGGAGAAAGCAGCCACATGGTCCCCAGGGACCTGCTTTTCCACACCATGGCCCCGCCACAGCCTTGCAAATGTGGAGCTGCGAGGCCAAGGTCTGCTAGAGGTCTGTCTGTCCGCTTCCACTGTGCTCTGCTCTACCTTTGAGTCATCATCTCCATCCCCATTTGCAGGCTGCAGGAACCAAGCACTGGGAAGAGAGCCAATTGGGAACCCCACTGGAAAGTGTGTGTTTTCATTTCCTGAAAGACTTTAAAATTCAAATGGTGTGTTTGCCTTGTGTACGACCTGTCCCCACCCCTGCCTTTTCTCTTCTGCACCCATAGTGCTTCTCCTTCCTTATAGCCAGTTCTCCTCTGGCCAATAGCATGAGCAGGAGGGATCAAACCTGGCAAGTACACAACGTTGATGTTTTCTCGGGTCTGTGTCTGGCTAAGCTCACTCAGTTCACTTGAGAGCAAGGAGCCTTCCTGTGAAAAACTCATGTCTAGGGCTCACAACTAGAATTCACTGATAGATTTTGGGGGTTTCATGGTCCCCTCATTCCTCACATTGTGTGCAAAATTCTGTGTTCTGTGTGTAGCATTTCATTACGTTTCCTAGGTCCTCAAAGGCATCCCCAGAAGGTTAACATCTGCATGAACACCAGAGGCCCATCTCTTGAAGGCCAGTGGCAGCTAAACTCTGAATAGAGCTGGGGCAGTGGCCTTGGAGACCCTGCAGCCACTGGGAGCTGGAGGCCAAGTGTCACAAGGGCGGGGACCAGCACCAGAGTGGAGCAGAGTGAAGGGGCAGCTCCTGTTGGCCTTTACAAATTTCTTTCATCTCCTTTATCCCTAGACTCACGTGGCCTAAGAAAACACGGACTTTGCTCTCCTCTTTCCTTTAAATGCTGATTAAAACATCAATTGAACTAGGAGCTGGGGCTGGAGCTCAGCAGCAGAGCACTCACCTCGCATGTGTGAGGCACTGGGTTCAATCGTCAGCACCACATATAAACTAAATAAAGTCAAGGTATTGTGTCTACCTATAACTAAAACAAAATTTTAAAAAAGAACTGGGTATGAAAGTGTTTTGAGACACTTACCTGTCCGCCGTGCCTGTGCAGAGCCTCTCAACTTCTTGCATTTGCAGACGCTCCATTGGTGTCCCCACCAGAGGTGGACAGTGGGGTTGTCCAGAAGCAGCAACAGCCGCGCCAGCTAGGTAATCCCAGCTGATCCACACCCAGTTTAGCTTTCAGGTAAGCTAGTTAGAGAACATAAAACTAGATGCTTCTGTGGAGAGCAAGGGAGCAAGTTGAATTGCCAGTCCCTCGTGGAAGAGTGTTCACTGTTTGTATTTAGAGTATGATGGAATTAATTGAAATCACCAGGGAATGGTGCTTTGAATTGCTTTTCCTATGTTAAAATTCAGATTTAATTTTGATTTGACTGAAATGAAATATAGCCTATGGGAAAAGGAGATATTAGAAAAATAAGGTGTTGAGATATTTTTAGTTTTTCTGAGTCTGCATTTAAATGTTATGCCTTAATAAACCAAGCAGTTGAATTAATGGGGAAAATTGGTTTTTAGAATAATTGTTAATTTCTTGGTATTATAACTGTGTTTACCAGCCCTAATTTTATTCACTGGTAATTGTGTTGGTCACAGACGGAGCAGCCATCCTATGTTTTGCCGTGGCCCACGTGTACTGCGGATCATTTCCATGGCCTTTGTTGGCAGTGCAGGGTCATCACACCCCTTGGTCTTCCAGAGCCAGTAGTTCACACCTGTGCAAAGGCCTCTCTCTCTGATTTATATGGGCCTGAATATAATCTTTCTGGTACTATATTCCAGTGACCGAAATTTGCTCCATGAATATCAAACTCATTCTGGAAGTGTCTTAAACCTTGTAATTAAAAGTCTTATACTCTGACAGAATAATTTCCCAATTGTGAATAATTATTGTTATATTTGAAATGTGAAAGTAAAAGAAACAATTTGAAAATTAAATGACAAAAATATGCACAGATCTAAAGATATATATTTGGTTTGTTACCTGATCTTTCCAATCAACCAGCTTATTTGAGATAGTAAATTTAGTAACCTCTGGAGGAACACGATCACATATTTTGGAGATGGGCTCTTGTAACCAAGTGAAGAGCGGTGCCCTGGAGACGCAGGCTCACCTCAGAATTCCAGTTCTCTCTCCAGTTCACTTGGACACTTGTTGCCTTCCTTGTGCTCTGGGCACGTTACACAAAATTCCATGTAAATTATAAGTTGACTGGACTTCTTGACACTGATTACTTTTCAGTACATCTGTCCTGAAATCAAGTTTGGTCACCTTTTCGAGTGACCAAACTTAATTTCAGGACAGATGTACTGAAAGTAACTGTCCTTGCTGTAACTGTCACTAGCTGTCCACACTGACCAAATGGAACGCATAACGGATTCTGTAACAGTCGGTGCTGAGCCTGCAGCCTGCGACACATTGTTCTCCCTCCCTGCCTACAGGCCAAGCCACTGTCCTAACCTCAGAGGGCCCAAGGTCTCAAGTAGCAGAGGTAGCTGGGCAGGGGACAAGGGCTGCTGTCATTTGAATGGTGCTCAGAGTCAGGTGTTGGTGACAAGACACTTGGCATGTCCTTCTCTGCCTCAAATGACAGGCACACGGACAGCCTTCCAGGTCCAGCTGCCATCACTGGGGCGAGCTGAGAGGACTGGGGGGAATCCCGGTTCCTGGTCCTGTCCTCCTGGGCATCAGTCCAACACATTTTGTGTTTTGCTTTAGCTGGTCAGGAATGGACTGAGTGACCTCGCCTACCAGGTTGTGGGGGTCTCAGTCCACAACCTGACTCTGCCTTCTCGTTAGAATGCTAGTTAATCCCGCTCTGGTCTCACGTTCCCGGGTGTGAGTCTCTGCCATCCCTCGAGAGCTGGGTGATATTGGGTGGTGCTTCCCATCTGTAGGCCCCACTTTCCCAGGAGAGTGCTTGCTTCATAGACCTCTGTCAGTACACATTAGCTCTTAGGATTAGGAGCCTGCCCGGCCACCCCACCTGCAGCCCTCCTGCCAGACAATCTGATGAAACCTCTGAGGGTTAGGGACTAACCTGTAGCCCACTGAGAGAGGCAGACTCTGAATTCTGCACACCATCACTGATGCCAGCACAGCTTTTGAACAGCTGGGGTCTGCACATGATGTCCAGACATCAGCCATCGGTCGATTTTTCTCTGTAGTCCCTGCCTTTCTGGCTGTGCCCAAGAGATGGCAGCTGACCTCTTGCCCCCTAGTCCTCTCCTGGCACAAAACTGTCAGCCTGCAACCACCTAGAAAATAATCTTAAAACCTAAACTATGATCATGTTAGCACTTGGGCACAGGGGCAGAGGCTGGCTGCTCTGAGTGGCATGGGAGTGCCCCTATGAGCTGGAGGCCTGTCTTGGAGCTGTCTTTGCAGTCCGTGGACTGCGTGTGGTTGTGAGGTTGTTTTGGAAGTGCTATGTGAAAGTTGTGGGGCCTAAACTACCACCAGGCTCTGGTGAGAAATGTTTCTTCCACCTATCAAGTTTCCTTATCTGCCCTGTGTCCACAGCCATCCAGTTCCCCAGTGCAGCCAGTCGGGGGGTAGGGGGTGCCACCCTGGTATGACCCATGTTCACATATGCTCTGAGCTAATGTAGGTCTATAAGCATCACACAACCTGGTTATGGACCCAGGTTTTCCCAGGAAAGCATGTCTGATGGAAAAGTATTTTGGGGCTATGTGAACAATTGAGGTTAAGTATTGCAGGGGCTGCGCCTATGTTTGAAACTTGGATGTGGTGTTTTGTAACTGTAGAATTGTTAGTTTATTCAGCACGCACTTGAATATTGTAGGAATGTTACATCTCCACAACCAGAATTTAAGTTGATGGTAAAGATTTGTCTTACTCATACTGATTAGCTGTAGGGATAAAATACTGTCTTGCTTGCAATAATCATTCATTAAAACAACTTGATGTCTGATATTTCCTATGTCATTATATGACTGAAACTGAACTGTTCTGCCTGTTTGTAGATATCAAGTTACGCTTTTAATTCTAAAACTTTAAGGAGTGGCATTACAGTTAGTGAAACCAAAGTGACTTACAGGCCAGGGGCGGGGCCCAGTGGCCAGGATGCCTAGACCCCGGGTCCTGTCCCCAGCACCGCAAAACAAAAACAAAAAACGAGAGTGACTGGCTGGAACCGTCCCTGCCGCCCCGCCCCTGTTCCAGCCAGCCCTCTTTGTGATGCCGGAATGTGGCACTGCCAGATTGACCCGCGATTTCTTTCCCACTATCTTAAAAAGGTTTTCTCTCCCACGTACGCGGGCTCCACCGACGACCTAGGAGCCATCCGCCTCCCCGGGCGCCTGCTTCCCGCTGCTGAGGACTGAGCGCGACCTCGGACACGGGAGGGCCGCGGGGAGACGCGGGGCGCGGCCGGGCA